AAAAAAAAAAAATTATAAATAAATATATATATAAATATAAATTTTTTTTTTTGCTTTCTCTCACAAACGAACTTTGACCTAACAATACTACTATCAGGTATACCTTTGACAATAATACATAATATTTTATTACTCCCGGAATGAAAAATTATGTTAGTATAATGAAATTTTTATTTTTTTTCACCGCATGTGCTTTTAATTAATAAATAAATAGTTTTGTAGTTTTAAACGATAAAATTACAAATTATAGAAAAAAAAAAAATTACAATTATCCCATAAAAAAAAAATAAATTCCAATTTAAAATTTCGTAACGCTCGCGTTTATAACAGACATCTGGAAGGAAAAAAAAAAATTATGGAAAACAAAGACTGGACAAAGGCCGATTTTATATTTTTTGGCAAAGGAAAAAACAAAAATTTCATCGATGTGAATAATAATTAAATAAAAAATTATGCATCTTGCGATCGATCCATCGATCGATCGATCCATCGATTCATCGATCGATTCTCGACAAGGTTTAACATTGATTTTAACAAATAAAAATGAAAAATTTACGCCGCGTACATAATTTTTTTTGTTGACTTTTAAACTTTTTCCCTTTTTTGGTAAATTGGTTATTTTTATTTTTTTTTATTAATAATCATTTGGTTTGAGGGGGAGTTTGATGGGGGGGGAGGAAGATGATGATGATGATGAAGAAGAAAGAAAAATGAAAACCTTGCCGAATGGAATTCGGCCGCCTTTTTTCACACAAACAAGGTCAATCGATGCCTTATTTTTTTTTCACTCTTAAATGTTATATTCGTGGGTAATAGATCTAATTGATTTTTAGGTTTTAATTGAGGGGTATAGGTACAAGATACATTTGACTGTTCTACCTTGATCTTAGACTCATCAATATTGAACTTTGGGGTCACGAATAGAATTTTTCTTTTTTTTTTTTCTCATATATATATTTATATATATATATTGCATAATTTTTGGTTTTTTTAATTGAAACTACTTTTCCTAGTTAAAAAATTTAACAGTTTAATTTTTATTGAGAAAAAAGCGTCGCGAAAGAGACAAAACGACAGCAAAAACGCCAAAAACTATTTTTTTTGACGTGACGTGACGTCATACATGTTTTTCGCGTAAAAAATTATTTTTATAGCGGCGGGTATCATTTTTTTTTTATTAAAATCGAAAAAAAATTATTTCCGGTAATTTATAAGAATGACGTACGAATAAAATTTGTACAAAAAAAAAAAATTTATTGCGACAAAATAACACAATTGTTTGCAAAATGATAAAGAGAAGAGAAAATTACCTGTGGGAATTTTTTAACGGAAATTTAAAAAGTTTTAATCGAACCGTCGGGTAGTACCAGTCAGTACGTAGGTACCCGTTTAAAAACCTGAATTAAAAACAAACCGAAAAAAATTTGTTATTAAATTAAAAACGGACGTACATTTTTTTTGTACGGTTGGTAACAACATAATTTTCCTTTTTATTAAGTAATAAAAATGAAAAATGTTACACTACAACCAGGTAACGCGCCAAAAAAAAAAAAAAATTATACCCTTAAGTTAAATATTATTACGTTTTGTAATCCTTTAGGCAAAAAAAAAATGGAGAAGAAAAATAATTTTTTATTTTAAAAAAAAAAGGAAACAACAACAACAAATTATTTATAATAAAATATTAATATTTGGTTAGTCATTTTATTACGTGTAATTTTTTTTTCTTTTTCGTAACAACAAACGAGAGCTTATTAAAAAAAAAAAAAATTATTGAGTAATAATAATTAGAACTCATCTTTATTTTTATTTGACCGAATTTTCACCGGTGCAAATCAATACTAATCACTCACGTTAAATCGATTGCATAAAAAAAAAGAAACGAGTACTAACAGGCACGGTACTTATGTCTAAAAAAAAAAAAAAAAAAATAGAAAATGGCCGGGTACTCGTAAAATTATTGAAAAAATTTTTTTTTTTTTTTTTTTAAGACTAATCAATTTGATTCGCATATCGTTACGAGTGAAGGAAAATAAAAAAAAAAAAATTTATTTTTTTAAACATGTCGAAATGTTTCCCTATCACTCTCTCTCTCTCTCTCTCTCTCTCTCTCTCTCTCTCTCTCTCTTTCTCTCTCTCTCTCTCTATCGTTTGTTCATCGTTTGTCGACATTTAATTAATAAATAATTTTACGATTTGAAAAATTTCGCGCCAAATTTATA